TTGCGAAGGTCTTAGGCAGCCCCTGTGAAAGGGTTGTTTGACCCCCAAAGGGGTCGTAACCCACAGGTTGAGAACTGCTGCCCTAGAGAGGCTCCAAGAGTATGAATTGACTCGGTGATAGTACAGTGTAAGTAAACTCTAAGAATTCATGAGGAGCTGGTGGACAGCTAACTCCAAGGCTGGTGGTTCAAACCCACTAGCAGCTCTTCTGGAGAACGAAGAAACTCTCTGAGCCTGTAACAGTTCACGGCTTTGAAAACCCTTTATCGGGTCCCCATGAGTTGGAATATACTTGATGGCAGTGGATTTGTGTTGGATTTTTTTGGATGAACAAGATCAGAGAATTAGCAACCCAGAAATAACCAAGTTCCCAGCCATTACTGTGGAGTTAATTCCAATGCCTAGAGATCCAGTGTGTGTCAGGGTAGAATTGTACACCAGGGATTTCCATGGACTTAGTTTTTAGAATAGATCCCTAGGGCTTTCCAAGGTGCTTCTGGGTAGGCTCATGCGGTCAATCTTTTGGTTAGCAGCTGGGGGCTTTAATGTTTGTACCACCAGAGGCTGTAACCAAGGCACTGGCTGTGTATTTTTGGAGGGTTTTGTTTGATATTTTAAAATAATTTATTGTGGTTCAGGTGAAAGCTTACAGAACAAGTTAGTTTCCCATTCAACAAATTACGCACAGATTGTTCCACAACTGGAATCCCACAATGTGTCAGCACTTTCTCCAGTTCCTTCCACCTTGGCTTCCCCATTTCCATTTGCACCGTTTTCCTGCCCCTTCCTGCTTTCTTAACTTGCCGTTGAGCAAATGCTGCCCTTTGGTCTCCTGTGTCGACAGTGCGGAGGAGCTTGTTCCTCTCCGTGTTGTTTTTCACATTATGGACATGTCTTTTGTGTGGCTAAACATGTTTCTGATGTCGCCGGTTCTAAGTTAGAAGAGCATCGTGTCAAAGGTTCTACCAGTCAATATCAGACCAGTAAGAGTGGTTGTTTTGATGAGTTTGAACTTTGCTGGACCTTTGTTCTCCCCCTCAGTCTGGTGCCTCCTGTTGTGACTCCAGTCAGAGAAGTAGTGATAGCTGGTCGCCTTGTAGTTCTTTCTGGTCTCAGGTGAATGGATCACTTAGCTCACGTGGTCCATGAATTCTCTGAACTAATTACTGTATATACTCGAGTATAAACCGACCCAAATATCAGCTGAGGCACCTAATTTTACCACCAAAAACTGCATTAAAAATGTGCTGGGAAAAACTTGGCTTATACACGAGAGTATATACAGTATGTCCTCGAATCTTTGGGTTTGTTTTTTTTAATTGTTTTATTAGGGGCTCATATAACTCTTATCACAATCCATACATACATCAATTGTGTAAAGCACATTTGTACATTCATTGCCCTCATCATTCTCAAAACATTT